CATCAACAGTTTATGGCTGAACATTAAAACTCCATGGCTGAACGTTAGCACTCCATGGCTGAACATTAACACTTCATGGCTGAACATTAATACTCCATGGCTGAACATTAATACTCCAATGGCTGAACATCAACACTTCATAGCTGAACATTAAAACTACATGGATGAACATTAACACTCCATGGCTGAACATCAACACTTCATGGCTGAACATTAACACTTTATGGCTGAACATTAGTACTCCATGGATGAACATTAATACTCCAATGGCTGAACATTAACACTTCATCATAGTTACAATACTAAACATATTAAATTTTACAGAACAGAAAAAAAAACATTCGTCTTTAAGCAACAGAATATCCACGATATCTCGAAGATTTTGAGTTGCTAGTACTATTTTACAAAACACCCCTGGTAATTTTAGTTCTTTGTATTTAAACATCAAACATTGTTGAATGTATGATAAGTTGTACGTTTGGTGTTATGTTAAACTCATATTAAAGTTTTTTCTTCATTACCCATTCAAGCCGTCTCCAACCATTATTAATGATACATTTTGTTAAGGTTCTCAAATTTTGACTAATATTTGATAGTTTTAAGCGATTGTTTGTTTTTTTATGCTCAAATGGAAATGGCCATTATAATGATTTTATTGGCAACTTACATACGGGTAATTTGTTTTCACTGAAATTGTCTTGTCATGAGGAAATAAATATGAACAATATGATAAAGGTTTCGTAGCTACCAGTTTCTTCTATAAACCCAAATATTATTATTAGCTGTGCCACAGCAGCTCGTAGAATTGCTCCGAGTTTGTTTTTTAAGAATACAATTTTATCTCATGGATCCATCTCTTGATCGATTTCAGATCTGATTACAGCCGCGGATATTGAGGATTCCCTCTTGATAGCCGTCTTTACTAGAATTGTTGTTTTCGTGTCTGATGATTCGTGAACCGAACAATCGTGAAATATTCATATCAATATGAATATCATTTCAGTTGTTTGAACAATAATACACTCTTTATTTTGGCCAATGAACGGGAAGCATTTAAACTATAAATCCTTGGGAACTTATAAGCACGTTTTACATTTAAATTTTTAAATAACGAGCGTGGTTTTAGATTCTTACACAACACGGTCGTCTGAGACCTCACGTAAATCATAAATAATATTATTGTTGCGGTTTTAATTTAAAACATATTTACAAAATAAATCAATACTTAAAAATATAAAACTAAACTTAAATCCTTAATTAATCAGTAATGTATTTTTTGACTTTAATAAAGGTTAAAAACCAGCTATTTTTTTTTGTTCTACATGGATTAAAGCACCAACTCCGTTATCAAAATGTTACTTTTAAAGTCATTTGGTATTAACCCGGAAATTCTTTGAATATGATTTATTTTGTAAGATATGCAATCATTGTTATTCACGTCTGCTGCCCCTTTCTTAATTCACAATTCATGCACGTACCAATTGATGTGTGTGATCAACAAATATTATTATAAATATTTGTTATACAGTTGGTGTTTATTAACATCGAATAGTTAGAGAGTGGGTGTATAACAAACTCTGCTTAGATTGACTGTGATGAAATATGTAACATTTCTTGGCACGTAGATACACACACACACATAATAAATCTGAGAGAAACATCTTGATCTCATGAAAATAAAGTAGTAAATATGTAATAATCTTGCAATGTGCTCAAACAAACGCAACTGAAATCTCGTCGTTATGTAAAAGGTGCGTGTGACCTGATGTAGATGTTACTAATATTGAAGCGTGTGACCTGATGTAGATGTTACTATTACTGAAGCGTGTGACCTGATGTAGATGTTACTAATACTGAAGTGTGTGACCTGATGTAGATGTTACTAAT